TGCCAACCCAGCCATGCCCCAACCTCGCGAGCTCGGCTGGGTCTAGCGCTGCCGGCACTTCGGCAATGCAAATACCTGCAAACACTGACTTCTGCTTGAGATTAATCATCTCCCCAGCTGCAAGATTTCCAGGAGACTTGTCGCCCTGCAGAGACGGGACCAGATGAAGTCGAGTGCCAGGTTTAGGTTGTTGGAGAAATGAAGACGTGGCAAAACCTTCAATGAACCCAACTCCACTCTTAATGGCATCCAACGAACCCAAGGCTGAAATCATGGCAAATGAGGGGTTTTGAGCTCATTGCAGAAGGAGACCTCCTGTGTCATGGCCCAGACCATCATAAAGAAAAGGGAAGAGGTGAAAAATTCAGTGTCAAACGCCAAAAATTCTCAGAATGCAGGGTGGCACCACACTGAGGTGTATTTGCCCCTTGCTGTAGCCTTCCAGGTTGACCAAAAGCAACAGAGTAAATGCAGAGTTTGTTTCAGAAACACAGGGCTGAAAATGCAAACAAGGGTCTTCCAAGAGCTGAATGCTTGAGCCTGGCCAACCCAGGCAGCACGCAAGCCTGTGCCCGACAGCCAAGGCGTCTGATCTGGAAATCAGATATAGCACACACCATCCAGATGAAAAATATCACACGTGGTCTATACTTCAGGCTACTTTCCAGTATCTCAAGGAAGGGATCTTTTAATTGAAAGCCTTAAGGTTTCTCGTTATATTTAAAATTAGAGCGGAACAGCTATAAAATTGGTCATGGGATTGAGACAAGTTTTAAGGGAGAGAAGGAATTTTATTCTTCATTTTTTACATCGGAGCATCCTTTAGAAGCCCGTGCATATTTGAATACGTCAATGCAAGGATTAATAATTAAAGGAACAACAACCACATGTCTCTGAGATACACACAAGAATGCAACAGCTCAGGCCGGAGGCTGGAGTCTCTGGGGACGTGCTGTTTTTGCTGGCATTTCACCTCCGCCTGGTAAACCTCATTATTTAGAAAAGCACTTTCCCACCAGCTTCTGCCAAGGAACGTCTCACCTAGCAATTTGCAGCTGATGGCTAACCCCGGCGTGAGCCTGGGAAATCGTATCTGTGCTTGTTATCGGTTTGATTTTGAAGGAAGACGTGAAGGTCTTCACATAGATAATCAGCGATTTGGGCAGTTGTGTTTTGGGGTGAAACCCTCCAGCCGCCAGCCGAAGGAGGCCAGCAGAGACCCTCACAGAGCGGTGACGATGCTCCAGGAAACCCGACCGCCCCGGGTCGCTGCGGCTCGCAGCCTCCGTTGCCCAAGGCTTGTGAAAAAGCAGGCTTCAAAACTGCTTCCTCTCCGCTCCCCAGAGCCAGATGGATGTCAACAGGCTATGGCGACAAGAGGGAGCCGCTTCGCTCCCCGGCGTGGCCCCCGGCCAAGCAGACGCCTCAGCGCACCGCTCTGCAGAGCCACCCCACAGCCTGGAGCATCTCGCCGGGCGCTGAGGGTGGTTCAAAGCCTTGGCCTGGAGAAGGGAGTCTCCAACGGGAATGCGGTTTCCCTCAGGAGGCCCAAACGGCGCTTCTCCTCTCTCCCCATCCTTCCTTCCTCCATGTTGGTAGTCCTCTCGTTCATTAGAAACCTGCTAATTATCTCGGCAGCTTGGAACTGGGTTGCAGCATGGAATTAAAACCAGCTTTTCGTTTTGGCATCCGTCGCCTCGTGTAATTAATAAGACAAGAGAAAGCCAGAACATGCGGGTCAGCCCGGAGTGCGAGGAAGGGATTGATCGGACACGGCCAGCGCCGGAGCTCGTGGCTGGGATGCTCTGAAGCCAGCCTCAGCCAGGGTGGGTTGCATTTTGAGGCCAAACCAGGGAAAAGGAGGAGGAGATAAGGCTTTCCGTCCACGTTGTCCCCCTTGTTTTTCCTCACTTTAACTCAAAATCTGGACCAAGTAGTGTGCAGTAAAAACCCTGCACTCAATCTTCAGCACCTCTCTGCTGGGGAAGGAAGGGGAAAGCAGTCTGGTAAGGCTTGACAGAGTGGTTTGGCCATCCCTGCCATGCTCTGAGACCCTGGGCTGCTGCAGATGGGCGTTTTGATGGAGGTCTGGAAAACGGCTGGAGGAACCTGAGACCAAAGAAGGGACTGGCACCGCTTGCACGTCCGCCATCGCCACGTCCTCTCGCCACTGCCTTGGCACAAGCAAGTGGCCACCAAATCCAAATGGAAACACTGCCCTGCTCACTGGCCACAGGCAGGAGAAGGCCGAGGACCCTGCCCTGCCAATCCGAGCTGGGGTGACGCAACCCTTCCCCACCTCCAGCCAGAGCTCGGGCTGGCAGCAGGAGGGCAATGCCTTTGGGCACCGTCGCAGAGCGGTGGCAGCACCAGGACAGAGGGGACACGACCTTCCTCCCGAGTCACCGGTGCATCAGGAGAGCACAAACTTTCCTCCCTCCATCCGTGGGACCGCTTGGGCTCCCCTCGCCCACCCTGCTGCCAAGAGCATCCCCCCTCACCTTGTCTGCTCGCCGGAGCTTTGATTTACAATTTGTTGCTGCTGCCACAGAGTAACTACCGTTGCTGCTTTCTACGGACTCGCTGGGCTGCCAGGATGTCCCTGACGGGCAGCGAGACGCTGCTGGAGCTGGCAGGCCAGGGCAGGAGAACATCGCTCCTGGGGGAGCAGCAATGCCAAATTGGGGTTCTAGCCCTTTAAATCCGATCCGGTACTGCAAAAAAAGGGCGAGCGAGCAGGAGAGAGCCTTCAGACTCTTTTAATTAAAGCTTGTACCATATTCTGTCTTCCCAAGTCACAGCAGTCACTCTCGTTTCTTCAGGACATCTCGGGGCTCGCCGACACCTCGGCATGGATGGGGGGAGCCTCTCACCTGGGACCGGCGGCAGTAGGTACGGGCGGAGGGATGGGGCTGCTTGCATGGCTTCTCCCCTCTCCTTGCTGTCAGCTGGAAGCATCCCCCTTTTTTTTTTCCTATGCTTTTTCCTTTGCCAGAGAGAAAGTCTAACGCGTGGCTTTTGGCTGGTGGGGACAGCACACCTGGGGACGAGGGGCTCCCCGTCCTGCCACCGCTGCTCTCTCCCCTCTCCCTCCCTTTTAAATAACGAAGTGCATGTCCTAGAGTTGTGGGGTTTGTTTTGGTTTGTTTTTTTGTTTGGTTTTTTTTTTTCTCGCTCCTTAAATGAAAGTGCTGCCATTCAGCAGAAGATAAGTTGGGATGCTTGTTTCATAAATCACCGCAGAAGTTGGTCCCCATCGCGCTCTTGCTGCCGATGGCCCCCACCAGCTCCGCTCCCCTCTGCCTCCCTTTGTAAGTGCACCAGGTTAAGAGAGTTTTGCCATATCCTTTCATGCGCAATGCAGAGCATTTCTTAAGAGCCTCACGGACCGAATCTCGGGGTTATTAGGAGAGACAGTGTTGCATTCACACTGGAGTTTCATCTCTCCGGCAGTCTAACCCGTAGCAGCCTTAGCTGGGCTTATAAATTGCCCTTCAGCGGGAACATTGTGCATGGAGAACATTTAACCGCTAACTATCCCATTCACCAATCGATTTTTCTCTCCCCCTCTGCTCCTAACTGAGTGATCTCTTCATTTGTATTTCTACGCAACATGGCTATTTCTTTAAATTATGTGTTGCCGGCTGGGTTGGTGCGTGGTTGGGGTGCCCCGACCTCAACGAGAGCCTGTTTTTCTCTTTGCAGCCGGGTCCCAAGTGAGTGTGGGTCCCGAGGAGCCTCCATCCTGCATGGATCCCTGGAGGGCAACACAGACTCTGCCAGGAAAACATTTATCCTGGTGCCTATCTGAGGTTAATAACACTTTTGGCAAATAGCAGACCTCCTCGAGGCTTGAAATAGGGTTGAAAAAGCAGCCACTAATCTCCTTGCAAAGTGCTAGATGGTGGCCACTGCTCTCAGTAAATCAGGAGACAAGCTGTTTATGTACGGCATGTTGAGACGTTAGCACAGCAAAAAAACCCCATCCTTCTCTTAATCCACCTGCAAAAACTCTGCCTTGGCATCGTTTTGCAGGGCTTGTGCAGGGAATACCGTGAGCTCAGCATGGCCCAAGGCAGATGGGACCGCGGGGCTGCCCAACGGGGTCAGGGAAATGGGCTTTTTTTCTCCCCGACCGCGTTTGCCATAAGTGAGAGGGCGATGGGACGGGGAACTTGCAAGTGAGCAAGGGAAGTGGAGCCGTGTGTCGGTGTGGGAGCAGCCAAGCAAGAGCACCTGGAGGTATCAGGTGGTTTGTGGGCAGCAAGACGTTTCGACTTGAGCAGTCGGAAGAATTAAACTTGGAGAGGAGGAGGCACGGTGCCTGCGAGGAAAAGCAAAGATGCCAGGGCAGAGGGAAATCTGCAGCGCAGGCTCCGGCGTTAACTCATAGGGGTGTGGGACTGCGGAGGACAAGAAACGCTGTGTATCCCGGGGTTTTGCTTGCATCGGTTTTCCTGGTTGGGTTTGCTTTCATCCATGGCTCCCATCTCTCTGGTAGTGATTTAACCACTCGTGACTTTTGGTGACATTAGGAAGGAGCGTGGCCCCTGTGACCGAGGCACAGGATAATAGCTCCCTTGTTTCCAGCTCGCAGACGGAGAGCAAATGACCTGGCAAGGAAACCTGAAAGGGCCTGAAAGTAAAAAAACCTGTTCCTGTGGTCCGAGTGGGGCTGCAGACAAACTCTTCTTGGGCTGAAGCCCCTGAAACCTGCTTTCTTCACCCCGTGGAGATGGAAAACCCAGAGTGGGATTTGAACACCACCGACAAACACAAGCAGGGCAAGGAAAGATGAACAAAATGTACATCTCGGTTCAGCAAAGTACTCAAGCCTCGCAAGCGTACGGAGGGTGGGGAGTAATTATTTATAGTGCCATCAGCAGAAATAATAGAATGAAATGAAGGGCTGAAAAGTTTTGCTGACTATCAGGGAACGCATCCTGGCAGGGACTGATATTTCCCGGGCCCAGCCCTTAGCATCTCCAGCGCTACCAAGCGTGCAGCCTGGAGACCCAGCAAAGCCTCGTCGGGGCTGAACCCACCAAAAACGGACAGGAAACATCGAGCTGAACCCACCCGGAGGGATGGACTTCAAATGTCACCTACAGCTTCCACCCTGAGCCACCTCTTATGCCCCAGCCTGGATTTATCTCCTGGTGGATACCTGAACTTTGAGGGGAGCAGCACTCTGGCTGGGTGGCCAGGTTTGGCTTTTCCATTCTAATTCTATGAAAATTGAGATTAAAAAAAGCTGACGACGGGGGGGGGGGGGGGGGGGGGGGAGGGGGAGGAGAAGAGAGGGGAAGCAGTTTTTGAGATCAGCAGTTAGTGTAATTCAGTGCTTTGTCCTCCGTAATTAAGCTCTGCGTTCTGCGTTTCAATAACGCTCTTGAACCAGGATGACAAAAGGAATTAGGGGGATTGGCAGGCAGAGAATCACTCACCTGGCATTACTCAAATTAAAGGTGACCTGCATAAGGTTTTCTTCTCTAAATTGAGAAAACTGAGTTTGGATTCTTCTTTGTGGTGATGAAAAGGCGCCTCTTTTTTCCCTTTTTTTTTTCCTTTAATTCACTTATGAATTATGAGTAGCATCAAGTTTGTCTCCCCCCACCTGGGCAGATGCATTGGAGGGCTGGGGTGGAAAGGGGGAATTTGAGCCCCAATTGAGCAGCCAGCCCTCAGCAAGTTTGGCAAACAACATCCAGCAGAAATTAACTGTGCAACAAGTTTTCTGTAATCCCAGAGCCTTTTCCTTCCCCCCCAGGGTAGTTGATAACACCATGAGAGACCAGTCCCCAAGTGGGCACAAAGATCAGGGCTTCATAAAAGTCCCAAACAGCAATTTGCTTCATCTTGCCCTGCTTGTCAGTCTCCAACCACCCAAGATTTTCCTAGTACAAACAAGACCTGAATCTCTGAAGAACAAGAAGAAAAATAATTCTTTTTTTATTGTAGGTAATAACCTTTTCCTACTTCCTTTACTCCGTAGACTGGAAAGAGCACATACACAAAAGGCATAGCTCTCATTTTTGCTTTATCTTCACCATTCACCTTTAAACAAAAGAAAAATAGCAGGGTATCTGGAGCAGGAAGGGACCAAAATGGATCTGACTGAGATAAAACCTAAATTTACTCTTTCTAGCTGTTAGAGTCTAATATATTCTATTCAGAGCAAGGGACGTATGACAACCCCATTCTACATCTCTGGCAGGGTATTACAGTCTGAATTAGTATGATAAATTAAAAACAGTCATAAAATTCTACAGAGGTCTTAAATCGTAAAAATGTATCACATGAATGAAATTGCACAGTTATTAAGTGAAATGTTTGAGATATAAACATTAGCGTGGCACGTCAGCCTGGAAGGATGGGAGCAGTCACGTCCAGGGGACTCGGCGTGATCCAGGTGTGGGTCACGCTGATGGCCTGATCATCTTTGCTGATCATCTGGATGGTTTAGCTGGATTCAGGTAGACTTTCAGAGCAGCCTAATCCACCATATGCTGTGGCATTTTCTTCTTTGATCTTTTATCGTGTTTTTTTTTCTTCCTTTGGGATACATGTTTCCCCTTTGAACATAAGCTACTTTCAGTGTATTATTTAAAACCCACATTTTAATGGAAGGAGGTAAGAGGCTGCACAGACAATGTAAACCTTGTTTTCCATGACCACCCAGAGACTGCCAGAAATCAATTGTCTGCTAGAGGCTGATCTTTAAATAAAGTTAAGCCAAATTGTATCAGAAGCCCTGGGGATCCATGAAAGCAGGTTTTCAAGAAAGTCATGTACAGATATTGCTGAGTTTGATACAGGTTTCACCCTTTAAATCCTTTTGTGCTGCGACCTGGTCTGCTCAGGAACTGAATTACTCTGAATTACTTCTGGCTCTAACCAAAGCATTGACTCTGGTTTGAGAGCTGCCCAAGAGCTTTGGGAGCCCGAGGCACTGGTTCAAAGTGGGTTAATAAGCCCTTAGGAGCTGCAGATGCTTTACTGGGAGCTGGTGGGACGCCCCCGGGTGATTTTGCAAAGGTTTCTCTTGGAGGCTCTACTGCAAGACTGAAACAGGAACGGCCTGGCATGCACAGACTTGTAAATGAAATGGGAATCTATTTAAAAAATATTTTTATTTTTACTCCCTCATAAATACACTGTGGCAAAACAGCCTGTAAAGCTGGGAAAGGATTAACTTGAGAAGAGTAAAAGTCTCCCAGGGCTGAAGAAGAAGAAAGCTGCTGTGCTTCAGGACAGGCGTTCTCGTGGAGGAGGTGTCCTGGCTGCCCCATGGACATTCGCTGTTCGTGATGATGTGCAACACTTCTGGCACCACAGAATCCCCCAAATCTGCGGCCGTGCCTGGGAGGAGAGAGCAGGATCGTGTGGGCACAGGGAGGGATTGGTTCCTGGCTGGTGGCTCCTGGGAAGGGCAGAAGTTCTGCTGTGGCCAACAGGCTGGTGGTGAAGATGATGTTGGTACAACACGTGAGTGCTACACAGGTTAATGTGACATAATGTGTGAGTTGTGATGGTGCCAAGAAGTTCTATTAGGGTGGCATTTCCCCCTGGCATCACAGATACAGTCCGTGCAGAACTGTTTATTTTTATAAGTTCCTTTCATTGGGGTTGCATGCAAAAACCTCATATTCTGGAACAAAATCTGCAGATCCAAGATGTGTTGTAATGCAAATAACACCAGTAGGATTAATCCTAACCAATTCATCCTCAGAGAAAAATCTAGAGAAAAACCTGACAGGGCAGCTGTGGAGGTCACAGTCTCCATCCTCGGCACAGCACCCCAGGCCATGGTGGGGCAAAGACACAGCCAGGAGACCCACCTGTCCCACCCCATACAGCACATCCCCATGGACATTTGCTTTCTGCGTTTCTGGTGATGGTACAGAGTGGGAAAGAAGCTAAAGGCATTTTAGATAATCCTCACCCATGAAGAGCAAAGCCTCATGAAAAGCAGGTTGATTCTTCTCTCCATCAGATGAGTCACGGACTGAAGGTGCAATTTTGTCCTGTGACCTGCTGATTGAAGAAAAAAAATCATACAGTGCTGTCATTGGGAAGTTTGATAAATATTTTATTCCCTCCTGAAATGTCATTTATAAGAGATACGAGCCTTTCTCTGGGGTACAAGACGAAGATGGATCTGTGGAAAATACTGTCACTGCACTTTACAACCTCGCTGAAGTGTGCGACCTCCGCGAGAGGTTTTATGATGAAGTGATATGGGCTTACATTCTTTGTGACATAGAAGACAAGAGGGGCTACACCTCGGGTCTCATGTAATGCTTGAGAAAACAATTACAGCTCTATACAGGCTCAGAGCAGCCAGCAAGAAACTTTGAACAGTCCTGCTGATCCCTTTCGTAACGCTGACCCTACTTTTGCCCCATGTCAGCTATTAAAAACCCAGCAGACATTCTGGGTCAGAGATGGACCTCCTGAACTGCTCAGGGGTGGTCCAGCTTCAGCTGTAAATTGCCAAAAGCACTGGTGTGGATAAGCCTTGGCAATCATATGATGAATGTCCAGATAAGAATGTCCCAGGTAGCATGGCATGAGAGCACCTGCTACGTGTCCATGCATGTCCATGAATAAGGTGACATAGGAGTGCCTGGAACCCTGGGAGCAGACGTGAGGCTGCAGACCTTGGTTTCCAGCTTCAATCTGCTATCACATTGGCATAGGACCCATGGTCATTTTCTTGAGCACTTGTAAACCTCTGACTTGGGTTGGCTGACATGAGGAACACCTGGATCTCCAAAAGCCACATTTGATTTCTTTTGATCAATGGTTTAGCTTTTTAGGAGAGGGAAGCAGGTTGTGTAGTGCTTCATGGGCACTGCTGTCAAAGGTACAGGAATGGAAGGAGAGGGGAAAGGTGGGGAGGTTTCTCTGGCCTTTTCCACAAATACTTGATTTTCAATAGAAATCAAACTATGTTTCAGAGAATAGAGCTTTGCAGTGGGCTTTTTTTAAAGAACAACAATGTCTTCTATGACCCCATCATTGTTATATGGACTGCCCCCAGTAGGTATCCCATACGTGTCATCTCATATGCTGCTAGAGAAAAAACTCAAAGAACATAGGGTTTCTTTATAAAAATCATGGCAGGGCATGTGAGGAAGCTGTGAAGGAAGTATAAAGCTGGAGGCACATTCTGGTATTCCCCTGATCCTGAGGTATGTCCCCTAGCAGGGGTGGAATATAGAGTGCTGTGATGTAAACCACATGTTTGTACTGCACAGCAGGCTCTTGGTCTAACTGTAGAACACCAGCACTTCTTCTGGGACCTGGAGAAACCAGTTTGCCTTGGTGGCTTCCCTCTTCCCCTTCCTACCATCTCCTCCAGCCACTACCAGCACAGGAAGCCACCATGTGCAGAAGTTGTGGCTGCAGCAGGTCAGGAGCAACCAGGGTTTGGTGAGGACAGCTGGTGGGACAATAGCATTCTCTGAGTCCTCCAGACTCTCAACTACTTCTGTATGGTTGTATTAGGAATACGAATCAATAAGGACAATGCTGTCAAAGTATGAGACCAGGTGGAATAGCCATCCTTGCTGTGTAGTTTCTTGAAGACAAGCCCATGAAAGTCTCTGAAAAAAAAGATATTTATTTTTTGTGGTAACGTGCCCAAGTCAGATTCACCATAGAGGATTTTAAAGAACAGATTAGCTGAGTTTAATAGTGTGAATTATGAAAAGAACCTGCTCTGTGCAAAGCACAGGGTCACATTTGATGATTCACTAGGCTTTTTCTTGACCATTAGCTGAACACTTTATGTCAAAAATGTGATCCACATAAAATTGCTGCAGTCTGATGGAGAATGTCTTCCAGCTCTCAGTGTCCAGCACCTACAGCAGGAAACATTTTCGTCTCTGAGAGGAAAAAAAGCCACACAGACTCAGGGCAATGATATGGGAGCTCCATGCCTTGACATACCCTCTATATACAATGAGGACAAATTCCCCTTACCTGATACCCTGGAGCAGGGCAAGTGCAGCACACACCTTCTCTTACAACTTCCCAGCTTCTCTCGGTCTCTCACAGAAACGCCCTGAGCTGAAGGCTGTGCCTGTCTCTGTTTCAGTGCATTATTTTATTCCTCCTTTTACCTATTTCTGCTTCTGAGCACCACGATGTCTTCCAGGAAAACAACATAATTGTGCACTGTTTGCACAAATACTTCCTT